TTTTGAAACTACTTGAGTCAGGTTTGTTAAGGAGGTCATTATCTCATGAGAAAACCTGTTCCATTGTTAGGTTGGTGGAGGTGGGATTAAATAGTGCAAAGAATTTGGGCTGAAGTCAGGGAAACTTGTTTGAATCCCAATTCCATCACTTAGCTGTGTAGTCGTGGGCAAGCAATAACTTCTCTGAAACTGGTTCTTTTTCTGCAAAATAGAATTAAATCTCCTAGGGCTGTTGCAAAAGTTTAATGAAGTAGCATCTCAGTTGCATTATTTAGCATAAAGGGGAGCTTAATTGTTAATTCCTGCATCTAATTATGAAAATTGCTAGAATTTACTGAGCACTTACTGTAAGCTGGGTACTGTTGTGGCACTCTACGTGTTGTAGCTCAGTCCTCACAACAGCCTGTGAGATAAGCAAGTAATGCTGTTATCTTCATTTTACTTCTGCTCTCTGCAGTGATGCTGAATTAAACAAATTATTCTCCACACCTTTCAAATATTTGAAGACCATTATTCTATTTGGTTTTGTTAAGCATATATTTGTCACATGACATTGTTTGACCATTATCTGGATGTATAGTATACTCTTATTTTTTAAAATCAACATAGCTCTTAAAAATATGGACTGTAGAAATGAATACAGTAGTAATGTAGGCTGACTGGCAACGTGTATGCAGATTGATGCTGATGTATTCTCAGTGTCCTGGGGGTTTAGTCACCCATTATATTAGCAGCTCCTATTAAACTCTTGGGTTTATAACTCTTCTTACGAACAGCTTCTAAGTCAGCATTTCTACATTTCTATTTTGCACTTTAACTTTTTTAAACTAAATGTAAAGCTTTACACTCATCCTTGTTACATTTCACTTTAATTTTAGTTTATTTCTCCCAAATTGTATAATTTGAGGATTTTATAAGCATGTCTTCCATGTTTTTATCTTATAAATAATAAAAAACAATATAGGGCCAAGGACAGACTTCCAAGGTACTCTCTATAGACTTCTCTCATCTAAATTGATATGGAGCAGCAAACTTATCCAACTCACACTCAAGCAATATATTTACAAAAGTAGCATGGAAAGCCATCTTCAGTACCGTTTTGNCAGTATAAAAAAGTAGGGACCCACTTAACTTTCTTTTCCTTCTATTCTCAAAAGCTGCCTTCTTGACCTCTGCAGGGGATGGATGGATTGTTGACTGTAGCCCATCGCTTGTCTCAATAGACTCGTATTTTACTTCAGTCCTTTTGGGGTAACATTTTAACATAAGGAGAATTAGGTCATTTCTGGCACAATGGCTGTCAGCTGCTCAGGCTTCTCTCACATAAAACACCTGTAATTTAACATATAGTGTATTTTCCCTCTACATCTTCATCCCGATTCCCACCCCTGCCCCACTCACCTGGCACTGTCACCTTGTTTCCATGCATGCGGAAGTCTAGGTTCGTGGTTCTTGGCTGCACTTCACTTTGATGGGAGGGGACACACTCAGATTTAAAGATGGCCAAAGAGGAAACACAAAACACATTGAAAGTAGCCACTTCAGTTTACTTTGCGTTAGGTGAAACGCCCTGGATGTATCTGCCCAGGTGCGGGACGCTCGGGTGCTCTGCCAGGCGGTCATCTGGAGCGCAGGCATGAGGGGCGGGAATGTGGGGGAGCAGGGAGAAGGTATCTCGGGGTGGAAACTGCTCGCTGCGGTGGACCCCTGACAAGTCCCTCGTTTAAGTCGTCACCTCTTGCCTCCTTGCCACCATCGCCTCCGTCAGAGCGGACAACAAAAGAGAAAAAGGCAGTTCGGTCGCAACGATAGGTATCAAGTACAGCGTGTAACTGTTTTGAATGCACGGTCGCGCCCCGCTCCCCCGCGCTCACGGAGTCGCCGGGACCTCGGAGGGTGCAGAGCGAGCCCGAAAGCACCCGGAGCTCCCGTTGCTCCTGCGCGATGCAAAAACCGTGAGGGGTGCCGGCGCTCAGCTACCACCCGGTCCCTCCCGCGGGGAAACTACAGCTCCCGGCAGGCCCCGCGCCGGCCGCGCGCCCCCGCCCCGCACGCCCCGGCCCCCCGCCCTCGGGCCTCAGGACGGGACGGGGAGGAGGGCGGGATCCTGCGAGGCGCGTGAAGCCTCGCTGGCGCCTCGTCCGAGATCCAAGCGCTGGCGGGCGCGGAGTTTCTCACGACCAGCCGAGCCCGCCTCTGTAAGTCGTCGCCTCAGGGAGCGCGGAACAGACACCGAAAAAGTTAGCGCCGCCGCAGCCGCCGCTTTGTTCTCGCGGCCCGTCGGGTGAGGCGGCGGCGGCGGCCCCTCCCCCACTCTCCCGCACGCGGTGGCGGCGGCGGCGGCGGGACTCGGACCCCGCGCCGGGCTGGGCGGCGGCCGCCGGGGCTGGGCGGGAAGTTGCAGGAGCGCGCGGCGGGCGGCGGGCGCGGGCGGTGGGCGCTGCGGCGATGGGGGGCGCGGGCGAGGCCGCCCGATGGGGCCAAGTTCCGGCGTGGGCGCGGAGGCCAACTTGGACTCGTGCTCCGCGGGCGACCACCGCGCCAGGCCCCTCGGCCACGATCTGTTCCTGGGTCCCCCCAAACTAGCTGCCGACGCTAAACCGGCGGCACTCACACTGCCGGATTTTGGATGAGCCCTTTTCTTTTTCTTTTCATGAGTTAACGTTGCACCCGTCTCAAAGGGGTGAGTAAAGGGTGCTTAGAGGACATAAGCCCCCACCCCAGTTTCCTGACGGTTTAGTTTTGCAAGTTGCAGCATTGCTCCGAGCGGTTCTCAACCCCGGGAGGCTTTTCGTAAGATGAAACATTCAGGAGCGCGACTGTTTCTTTGAGCAGTAAAAATAATCACATACTACTCGGTTGCCTGTTGGATATTTTTAATGTGAAGTTATCGCAATCAGAAGCACAGGCCTTGCCGCCCGCAGGCACGACTATAAATCAAGTGACAAGCCTGTGTGCGACCTGCAGACTGTTCCATACACAGATTGATGGCTTGGACGTAACTGTATCTTCAACCACACCCATCCCCACAGGAAATAAGACTATCAGTGTCATCTTTGATTAGGAAGGATAAGTTACACCCCGAACTATACTACTTTGTACGGCACAGCCTTAATGAGATCTAGCCGCAAATGAAACAAAAACTTGTAAATGCCTTAATTTGTAACCTTGAAAATGTTACTGTATTACTCTTAACGCTGCGTCTACTTTGTACTTAATGCTGCAGTTCTTCCTTACATTTTTAGCGACTATGATTTTTGCTTAGATCAAATTTACCGACTTCTAATGCTGTGAGGGCTGGGAATACCTGTGGATTTGCTGTTAAAGGCAACCATAAAGTTCTCCGGGATTTAGGACAGTTTTGCTTTTTAAAGGAACCGTTTCCTCCTGGATTGAGAGCAAGCATGGAAATTCAGACAAAAAGAAGTTACAAGGTTTAGTAAAAGTGTTTAAAACATGTCACAAAGCCTACATGTTAGCTTTTGCTTTAGTAGGTAATTATAGACGTGGTAAGCCTGATCAGATGAACTTGGGAGTATTTATTTGACTAGCCATTTTCCACTTTAGGTTCTATAATTTGGTATATAGCATTTAACTTTTTAGGTGACTCAACTTCAAGAATGTTTTCTGGTTCATATCTTAAAACGAATTTTGTAAGCATCCCAGATAGAGTCTTTTAAATATACAAATATTATAAGCTTTCAGTTTCATCAGCTGACCTCTTTAAAATAGAAATTTCTCTCTTAGTGGATTGCTTTTTAATTTAAACATCGCCACACTCTAAAAGAAAAGCTTAATCAAGTTTTGGATATTAAAAATTTTAAATTAGGTAAGAATTGAAAAAAAACATACAGGAAAAAATAAGTGGTCATTTAAATGCATTTTTTAAGGGACATTTTGTTCTCATTTTTAAAAAGACATTCTAAAGTTGATGAAATATTACGATATTGGAGTTAATTGCTCATTTTTAAAAGAGACTACTTTTACAGAACTTGATATATGGGAAAATTATTTGCTNGCGGGAAAAAGTTAGACGACCTGAACTTTTCACCAACAATTCATGGCTCTTGCATCATGACAATGCACCAGCTCACATGGCACTGTCTGTGAGGGAGATTTTATCCAGTAAACAAATAACTATATTGGAACATCCTCCCTACTCACCTGATCTGGCTCCCAATGACTTCTTTCTTTACCCAAAGATAAAAGAAATATTGAAAGGAAGACATTTTGATGGCATTCAGGACATCAAGGGCCATACGACGACAGCTCTGATGGCCATTCCAGAAAGAGTTCCAAAATTGCTTTGAAGGGTGAACTAGGCGCTGGCATCGGTACATAGCTTCCCAAGGGGAGTACTCCGAAGGTGATCATAGTGATGTTCAGCAGTGAGGTATGTAGCACTTTTCCTAGGATGAGTTCATGAGCTTAATTGTCCGACCTCATAATTAGTGCCCCCAAAGAGTAATAGCCATGGTTTTAAAATCTCCCTAAATCTGGGAAGATCATGGCTCCTGTAGTGTTCTTAAAATTTTAGTAAACACCAAAGCATGTGGTCAACTCGCTGATATTGCTTTACTCTTTCCTTTTGATTTTAGTATTTATTTAGCACATGACAAACTGAAAACTAGAGATCAAGTGTTCATTTTATTAGAGAACTGACGTTACTTGTTTTGGGAGTTTTGAGGAAAATAAATAAGATAGCCTATGTCAAGTGCTTTGCACAATACCTGATGCATAATAACTGCGCTTAGTGAATGTTAGTTCCCCACCTTCTTGCTTTCTTATTGCAGAAAGGCTTAGAAAATACTGTGATGCTACTGCTTCTGTGTTGATTTGTTGAATTAACATAGTAGATGTAATTGGGGTGAGAAAGGATATTGGCAGACAGCAGTTCATTTTAGCTATAATGGAGTTTACTGAAAATGAAATGATTCTAACTAAAGCTGACTGCTTTTAGCTGATTTAAAACACTTGTTTTTAGCTTTGATCATCTACATGACACTAGACCTAAAGACTCTTTGCTTACGTATCCTTTGTCTTATGAATACATTGTCTCTGCTGACATGGATTGAGTGTAATTTTCAGGTTCTGCCAAAGTAGAGCAAAAACCCCAGCTGTTTCTTTTGTTTTCTAGAAACCAGTTGTCATTCCACACTTTTTTTCTGCCTTATTCTTTCTGCTATAGCTGTGTTTGTGCGGCTGTGCGACATCCTACTCTTCACTGTACCCCTACGTTTTTTTGTCTTGGTGAAACAGTGTCAGGCAACCATAGCGACACTGGAGGCTCAAACTGGAAGAAGTGTTTTTTAAAAAAATTTTGCAGGATATTCAGGTTAAGACCATGGCTAGGATAGAAAGTTCCAGAAAGTTTAAATTTAAGATAACAGAACTAACAAAAACAAGGAAGAAGGAAAATGAAAATAGATTGCTCTGATCTGTGTCAAAGAAAAATCGCAAATGTTAAATGAAGTGGCTCTTCTGGTATATCAAGAAAATTCTGGGTTGCAGATTAATGATGAAAGTTCAGAATAAATTCAGAAGTCCACGTTGAGTAATGTTCTCATTGACTTATCTAGACTCTAGTTCCTTCTAGCTGTATATACAAACAGAATCATTAAAATTCTTCTCTTCAAGTAAATACTTTCCAAAAAATGATATTAAATTAATATTATATTTCTGAGAAATATGTTTGTGTTAAATTAGTTACCTTGCTCAATAGTCAACAACTTTGTTAATAAGTGCCTGTGAAATACTAAGTTCTAGGTGCTAGGAATTCAGCAGAGAACATGAAAAGAAAATGCCCTTGCCCTCATGAAGTTTGTTTACTATGATCTGATTACTAGAAAGATGTACTGTGAAGATTTATTTGGCATCAAATTTAAAAATGACTTTAGCATTCAATTTCTAAAATTAAGTGAATATAAAGAAAATTTTGGTGCTGAGAATGTTCTATGTCTTGACCTGGGTGGTGGGTACCTGTGTGTGTGTGTGGCGGGAGTGGGGGGACAGGAGGGACAGTTATCTACTAATTAAGATATTAAAATTAGTGCTCTTGACTCATTATANATTAAGAGAAGTAGGATCTTTTGTGCATTCAACTCAAGAGTTGTAGAACTTGCAGTCATCGGCATGAGTAGCTTAAAAGAGGAAATAAAGAAGCTTTCAACTAAATCCAAAAGTACAGTCATTTTTTTACTGCTGTGATTTCAAAAGCCTCTTCATAACCATTGAAAAATAGTTGACAACTATTTCACAAGATTAAAGAAAGGCAGATGTCTGCAAACAATTCCCCTCCATCAGCCCAGAAGTCTGTATTACCTTCAACTCTTCCTGTGGTGCTTCCAACTCCTTCTCCATGTTCAAGTCCTAAGACAGGACTCTCTGCCCGACTCTCTAATGGGAGCTTCAGCACACCATCACTCACCAACTCCAGAGGCTCCGTGCATACAATTTCATTTCTGCTGCAAATTGGCCTTACACGGGAGAGTGTTACCATTGAAGCCCAGGAACTATCTTTGTCTGCTGTCAAGGATCTTGTGTGCTCCATTGTTTATCAAAAGGTACTGTGCATGATATTTATGTCCATAGTTCTTCTAATTAATATTGTTTCTGATGCTTTTCTATGAATTATACATGAAACAATGAGTTAACATGTGGATTAGTCAATTGTTTATATCCTAATTCTGAGCATTTTTTGAAGAGTCCTAATAGCCCATGAGCCTAAAGTCTGAAATTTCACAGTCTAAAAGCTGGAGCCTATATCCCAACTTTATAATACCGCTTATATATTTACCTTTTTAAGAGCAGGAAAAGCCATATAAAATCAAGAGAATTTAAGAAATCTCATTTGATTTCAGAGAAAACAGGAGGTACAGAGTGCAAGGCATCAAGGTGGCTTACCAAAAGGCTGGGGCATAGCAGCATTTGAGTCCCCGGTCCATCCACACACACCCTGGTCTTCCTAGGTGTCTTATGTTCTGCCCTCTTGTTTTATACTGTCTTGTTTCCCTTTAGATCCCGATTTCACCTAAACTGCTATTATATGAGAGGGCCACATTCTGTCTATTAAAAAACAAGTAAATGAGTTTTGAATATATGAGAGACTATGTGAAAATTTGAAAATTGAGGGTGGTTTTGTTTCCCATCTACCCACCCACCCAACATACCATGTTTAAAGGAACCTTAGCTAAGTATC